GCTGTAAGCTTGAGTCTTAATTCTGGAAATTTTATTAGCAATGCAGGGTGATGGGGTATGAACCTGTGTCTCCTTTGTATCCCTCTGTTGGTGGGGAAAGGTGTCTTTCTTTCTGCCCTCCCCCCCTTAAATAATTCTGTTCACTTTTGTTTTGTTTCCCTGTGTACTCCAGCATTGGTTATAGTCATGGGAAAGGAAGGTGTCCACGGAGGCACACTTAACAAGAAAGCATATGAACTCGCTTTATACCTGAGGAGGTCTGATGTGTAAGCAGCCTCTCCCCATCTACCTAGCAACTGTCTTCATCACCACCCCAATTATGGTCACAGTGCTACCAGACTATAGATGGTAGCTAATTTTTCTTTACCTATTTTCTAATGTCATGATTCCTGTTTACCCAATGGATCATTTGTATGTTAACCACTGTATGTAATCAACCCTTATCTGGCAACATAATTGCAGCACAATAATGATTTGCATGATACCTTGAAATTCGGGGGGAGGGGGCATGCCAAGTTGGGCATCACTTTGTCTTAGCAATTAATGGGATATTGATAACTAAAATAAGTTAATATTAAGCAAGGTGCCGGTTGTACAATCTCTAATTTGATCAATGTCTTTTCAGCACTTTGAGCATTTACTTAGCTCATTTAGTCTTCCTTTTGTAGCGCATGGTTGGGAGGAAAAAGTGCATGCATCTTTCCTTCACTTCTCTTTTCCCACCTTTTCCCTTTGCACATAGATATTTAGTTTGCTTCCATCTTTTATGCATTGCCTGGTTTACTTAACCAAGTAATATCCCTTTTGTTGATGAGCTATTGAAAGCTGCGGTAGTTTGCTTTTAGTATTGTTGTTGCACTTAAGTAGAGACAGATCTTTTGTCTATAAGCTATATGAAGAGTGCAACTGCAAAACAAGAGCAAAAGGCACTTCCTCCCACGACCGTACAGTAACCATACAGATCGAATCCCCAGGGACATTCCATCATTGCAATAGCTCAGATTTTTGTTCCTGTCTTTTTCTTTGCACACCAGCTCAATTCTTTAGTAAAATTGTAAAAGGCTGCCATTATGGACATTAGGTATCCCAACATAACCATCTGGAGTGTGTCCAGTTTGTTCTTCATAGGACCAATTTTTATTTGCAGCTTGAGTTTTTATATGAAGTTGCATTATTGTGGACTTGGCTGTCTTGTGATGAATTTTTTTCATATGTGTTCTGTGCCATACTATTGTTAAAATGAACTGTTGCTATTGTGAGATGGATTTTAACTGACCTATTAAAGGTTTCTTTCGAATGGCACTACTTTAGGGACATTCTAGTATTTGCTTCTATTGTTTGGGCCTTGTGGATAATGTACAGATTTAAAAACAAATCTTGTTGCTGATTTGTCCATTTCTTTCCCTGCACTTTGTTACATCTGGGATACAGTCTAACTCATCTGATTTAATATGCATTTAAAAAAATGCCATAACTATTAAACACCTTGTTTACAGACAGATGAAATAAATTTATTCCAACCAAATATTCTAGACTCCTGTTGTTTATGTAAATTGCTGTCTTATTGTTATCATTGATTTTTGACACATTAGAATATACAGTATGGGTCAGGCTCTGTTAGAAGCATAAGATCTTAAAATTGAGATTAGGGCCTAATAAACATTCCATATCCTGTAGTATTTATCATAGATAAAATGAGTACCTAGGAATTTCTTTTTAATGGGCTTTTATCTATTTTTTTAAAAAAGGCTTTTAGCCTTCTTTGGGCTTATGAGACGAAAATTGACTTATCTACTAAAAATTAAATATTTTTTCTTGTTGCTGATCTCTAGATGTGAAATCTAGTGAGCAGTGAGGAGCCCAGTACCAAGAAGGGTTTCTGCATTGTGGAATCTTCTGTGTTGTACGGTCATGTGACTTATTTAGCTTTGGAAGTTCCATTGGGATTGCTGAAGTCAACCAGCTGGGACTCACATAAGACAAGACCTTCCTTAGGCAGCATGTAAGATAATTGGGATATTCCTGCAGTTTCTGGCTTTGGAGTGACCTGTTAACTGTGACTACATAATAGTCATGTTTAATTCTACAGGTCATAAGGTCCCTGGGATGTATTCAGCTGTTTAATAATGGTTATGAACTGTCAAGCTCAGCAGGAATGCTCAAAAGTTGGTGGGTCTAAGGAAAACTGGGGAGCTGGTTATAATGCAGATTCTGGGCTCTGGATTTCCACCCTGGAGATGGGATTCCATAAGCTCCAGAAGTCCCTTTAGAAATAATCACCAGGTCAGTCTGATTCATTTTAGGTGGCCTATGTGCTGCCCTTTCAGAAATAGTGGGTTAGGGAATGGGAATCTCTGCCTTAAACTGTTCATACCTAAAAATTTTGACAGCATTGTCAGGCAGTAGTTCTGAATTAGTACATACAGGAATGTAAAAGTATGGAAGATATGGAGTTTTGGGGCTGATTTGGTAATTGGGCATATCTTGAAATCGAAAATCAACAAAAACTTCCAATTTCTTCACCTGTTAAGATCCCGGTTATGAACACAAGATGGGTCAAATGAAAATTTGGTGGTTAGACTGTGATGATTTGACATTTTACAGTAATAATATACATTCAGTCTTAGGGTAACTATTTATAAAGCAGTGACCAAAATTGTGAAACCCTTAACCTGTAAGTAGAGATGTGTGTGTTGGTGGTGTGGGTAGGGGAGCAGAAGATGAAAGAGAGCAACTATATCACTAAAATAGTAGATATTGAAACTAGCCATTGGCCCCTACCCAAAAAAAACATGAAAATGTATACATGTATCTGTTTTATACTTCTGGGAAATTTAACCTAAGAAAATGAGGCCATACAAATTTATATACCAAAATGCCCATCACACCACACTACTTAAAATAACTAAACTTGGAAAACTGCAAGATTCAACTTTCAGAGTGATGAGTTGAATAAATTATTGTATGTCCAGAGAATAAAATAGTCATTGACTACCACGAGAAAATGCTCACCAATAAATGTTAATGAGGTAATAAACATGTTGCATACAGTGTATAATGTATACATGTATTTTACGTAGGTATTTCTGAAGGCAAAATATCAAGATAAATTCATCTCTGGGGTAAGTTTCCACGTGACTATCCTTTCATATCAGAAAAGTTTTAAATTAGGAAAGTATTTTTTAATAGGAATTAGATTTAATTTTATTATGTCCTATTTAAAAAGCTATATAGTTCCACCAAGAAGAAATTATGAGAAATTTCAGTGGAACATTAAGAAAACTAGTAAAAGTCCTAGACCGTGTTGTTAACTGACACTTCATAAATCTTTTTTTTTACAACTGAAAGTAACAGGATTTTAAAATTCTGAGGCAATTTTGCCTTAGAAAAACTCCTAATACTTAAGACTGAAGGGATACAACACTTAATAATACATGTTACAGTGACTTTTAGCTTCCCTTTTTAAAAAAAATGGTTTTAGGTATATTTTTATTATTTACCTTAAAAATTATAAAAGGTACTGTGTATTTATGTGGCAGGTACTGAGTGCAGGGTTCTGTCTTCATACTCTACTTTAGGTTCAATCAAATTGTACAATTAACCAAATAGGTTTGGAAAGATCAGGGCTGTGCAAGGACATCAAATTCCAAAGCTCTGCTTCACTACTATAGTAAACTGATGATCTATTTCTAAGGCATGTGTGTAAAAGGAGGTTGGGGATGAGATGACCTCAACCTTTTATTTTCCTATACAGAAATACCTATTTTTTAAATTATTTTTTCAAAAAGCAGTTCAGAAAGTAAAATTTCCCCAATTGTGTTGTGTTACATTTCTTTTGAACTTAATTTTTTTCTCTTTACATTAGACTTCTCTACAGAGTATACTTCGTATTTTCTAATATGCTTTTGTTGACTAAAAATGTCAATATAGCTTAATCTCGAGATTTATTATTTCAGGGCTGTCTAGAGGTCTACTGTAAGGATGTATCATTACAGCAAGGTACCATGATGTACACTATCATTGGAATGAATGTTGACTGCAGTTTTAACTTTTAGGGGGATTCCCCAGTTGGTTGTGAGCAGTTATTTTGTATAAAATTCTAAGGTGGTGGTTTTATCTGACCTAAATTACCTTAATAATTATACCTTTGTAGCACTATGCATTTAAATAAGGCTAATGTGGGTAATATTACAGTAGAACAAATATTTGGCCAGTTCTTAAAGTGGAAAACGTGTTTATTAACATTCAAACTCCCTCCATACAAGGCCATATAAAAATTCTTAGCATTTTGATTATACAGAAGTCTGTATTTTCTACATAGTTACAGTGATGTATAATATAATTTAGCTTTTCATAATACATTGTTTAAATACATCATTAGTTCTGTTAAACATAAGCAATTATTTTCAAATCCAATACTTGAACAATTTCCTCTGTACATAGTTTAGCAGGGCTAATTAGCGTAAGATGCTCTTTGTTAAGAGGTATATGATCTGTATTAACAGTATTGACAGTTGCTGAAGTTTGGTATTTTTATACAGCATTTTCTTTTTACTTTGATCATAACACAAAACCCTTAAGGATACTGAAATTCAGTAAGTCAAGTCCAGAGACATGTTACTTTAGCTGATGAATCAAAGTCATACATAACACTATAGTATTTAAAACCTTGCGGGGGAAAAACAACCTATGAAATCTGCATTAGTACAGACCATTTCTATCAGGAAAAGACTGCTTGGGAATAGAAAGAAAAAAAGCATTGAGTTTCTTTGTGGCGCTGATATAAGGAAAAATGCTAAATTGTCACCCCTCATAAGTGATGGCAATTTGGGGACATAATATAACAAACATATTCCAACTCCACAACTCTAGGTAAACTTTATGCAAATTGGAGTTGCTTATTAGCTCATGCTAGGTGGCCACAGCACTGACTTTGTGTGTAAAACACGAAACATTTGCATACGGTGATCTAGGTCTTAACTGCAAGCTATACGGAGGAATTTTTTTTTTAATGTTTTGGCTATAGTTCATTCCAGAAGAGTTGATTTGATGCTTGAATTACAGCACCAGTCTATTACTAGTTATCAGTGAAATGAAGTTGTACTCCTGCAGATAAATACCGGATCAATAAAATCTGCTTCAGTAATTTGATTAAACTGTAGAATACTAAAAAATAAGTTATTTCTACAGGAATCTCTGAAGGGAGCAAAAAATCAAATTATATACCTAAATAAACATTTATTAGGAAATAACCCAATCACGCTCTAAAGGTCAAACAGTATTTGCTATGTTGTAATCCCGTTCACCATTAGGTTGCAGCTGGACTACAACGCTATGTGCATTAATTTCATTTTCTGCATCACTGCTGTCGGTATCTTCGTTGTCATCCTCTTCGTAGTCTGAAGATTCTGTCATGTTCTGATGTGAGCGGGATTCTGACAAGGCCCCAAATGACTGGGTGCTGACAGATGCCAGAGGTCTAAGTAAAGGGGTATGTTCTGACACTTCATTTTCTTCTTGACTACTGTCTGTGTCAGAGTCTGAATCGCCTTGAGAAGGAACAACTTTTTGCTTGCAGACTGGACAGGTTTTTTTGGTTTTAGTTAGCCAGGGGTCTACACACTTGCAGTGATAAGCTGTTAAAGCAAAATATACATCTTTTAGATAGTATATTATGGTTGAGAACATTGCATTTTTAATTTCTTGCCATATTTATTCATGTTCTTTTAATCTATTATATGTATGATGTAGGGACAGGAGAAGAAAAGTTTGTAAATTTTTATTATAAATCTACCCCAATCCTTTCATGACCCCACTAATTACTACAAGACCTGGTCTATAGTGTGCTAATAAGTCTTTTGTCTCCTCCTCCAATAATAAGCCTAAATACAAATTACAGGTAAATTCAAAGCAGTATGTAATTATTCATACCATGGGAACAAGGAAGGATTCTGAGCTTGTCTCCATCTTCATATTCATCCAAACAAATGGCACATACATCATATTCATCTCCTATGACAGACAGTAGTAAATAAAATTAATGAAAAGATGTAGAGAAGTATTCTTTCAAATTCTTAAAAGTGAGATCTTCCTTAGTCAATTATTTTAAATGGTCTTTTGACCTATCTGTAAACGATCCCTTTTTGTTTCCTGTCAGATCAGGGAACAAGTAAGTTCAGGAACCTAAAGTTTTAATTTAAATAATTACCTTTTAATATTTTAATATAATTATATAATTTATTTTATATTCTAATATATAATTGAGTTTAATTTAAATAACCTTTTATCTAAAATAAATTAAAAAGATGTAAAGTTTCATTTTGCAAAAGATTGTTTTTAAAAAGATCATCATTGCAGTAGTGTCCTATAGGACTATTCAAATGCAAATTTTGAAATATTTTATACCAAAGACAACAAATTTCACTGTTTAGATTTCTTAAGGTCTCAGTAATTTTAAAATAAAAATGGAAACATACTCCAGTGTTTTTTTAATATCTTAGTGGAAAAACATTTGGAATGAGACCCTAAGCTTCAAATCTCCCTTCCAACATTTACTAGCTCTGTGGTGCTTAGCAAGTTAGTCTTTGATATCCAATTCTTTTATACCTTGCAGGTTTGTGAGTGAGCAAAGGGCCAGGCACATAGGCATTCACTAAATGGTGTTTATTAATACTGCTGCCCTTTTGATTTCCTATTTGAACTTCCTACCCTTATAAATCATGAAGGTTTATCAATAGTTCTTTTTAGAATTCATGTGTACTTGATTTCAAAGAAATTAGCAGTCTTACATACAGCAGCTTTTGAAGCTGAGTCAGTAGTGGCAGTGACCCCTGTGACTGCTTTCAATTTGGTGTCTTCCATTAAATGTGTATGTTAGGTACAAACTTAAAAATCTCAGAGAACAAAAGACAAATTCATTGTCTATCGCCCACACCTTGGAAGACAGATCAGAAATAAAGCCATTGTCTGGACAGTCTGGATGAACATGACCCATAAAGAAGGGAATGATCGTTCTATCAATCCTTTTAACATCCTTTAGTCATTTAATATTACACACTCAGGAGGAGTCCTAAAAAGAAAGCTTTACTACTTATTTTTTGTTCAGTGTTTTGAATTTGATTACCATAGAAGCAAGTACCAAATCCATTTTATAACAAATACAAGCATGTATGTTAGAACTTTGTAAGTGGAATTTGGTGAGACTAATTATATGCATCTCAAACTATTAAAAGACCAAAGGACTCCAATGTATAATTATCTGTAATTATACAGTTGATCCATTTACATGGACTTTGAGGATGGTTTTAATTAACAATTTAGTCATCACTGATTTCTCATACATATCAAACTTTAAATTTTAGTGCCCATCAAACACAGATACAGTTACCATTAGAGGATGTATCTGGTGGATAAAGGCCTCAGTCGTCTTCGGAGGGATAATTAATTCTGAGGCCCACGGCTCCTAAGGGACTCTGGGGGATTGAGACCTGCCTGTCCACAGAGGTAACTAGCTCAGTTAAGACCCACTTCATTTTTCACTCCCTGTCTCACTCTCCCCACTCCCTTACTGTTGCTTCCTGAGGTTATTTCCCCAAGAAATCACCTGCGTCTTTCTTACTGCTTGTCTCAGGTTTTGCTCTCAGGGAAATCCAAACTACTACGACAGTTTTAAACACTGGAGTTTTAGTAATGATTTTACACTGTGTTGCTGTTGGAATTTATTAGATCTTCAGCAAAAAGTAATAGGATATTCTACTTGTATTTTACTATCATATGTGAGTCCTCAGAGACTTCAATTTTAAAAATAAAGACAACAAAGGCAAAAATTGCCTAACAAATGGCATAAAATCTAAAGGAAACTTTGCTATTGAGAAAAATCTCATTAGAAACCTCTATTACAGAAGCTAAACTACAGAGTTAAAAATATCAAGGTTAAGTTCTAATATTACTAAATATATTTATAGGCCATCACCATATCTGGAAAATTATTTGTGCCAACCTATTGATTTTTGTATAACTGCACTGACATAAAATAAGGAGTGTAACTTCCTATAGCCATTTTTGGCCAATATCTCTTCTAAATGACTTTGTTATTATAATTATAAAATGTAATTTGTGTTATTTAATTCAGTGTGTTATAGAGATGGAACCAATGATTTAGAATTTAATCTGAAGTGAAATACCTCACAATTTGTTTCCTTATAAAATGTCACATATTTTTCAGAAAATGATACAGTTAATATAACTGAACAGGAATGGACAGGTTCCTGTTCAGAACTGTGCCCCAAAACTCTTAAGCCTCATTTTCTTAAGATAGGGAGGTTATCTGGTATTATCCAGGTGGGCCCAGTGTAATCTCAAAAGTCCATAAAAGCACAAAGGGAGGCAGAAAAGTTCAGAGTCAGAGGAGGATGTGACTGGATGAATGGTCAGGGAGATGTGATGCTACTGGCTTTGAAAGATGGAGAGGTAGTCTCTAGAAGCTGGAAAAGGCAAGGAAATGGATTCTCTCCTAGAGCCTCCAAAAAAGACCACCACCCTGCTGACATCTTTATTTTAGCCCACTGAAACCTGTGTTGGACTTCTAACCTATAGAAGTGTAAGGTAATTGTGTTATTCTGAGTCACTAAGTTTCTGGTACTTTGCTGCCACAGCAATAGGAAATTAATACAAATAGTATTGGGGTTAGCCCTAAACATACAGGCTTGATGCTTCAGAGTCACTGAGCTTTCCTATCAATCTTTTGAATTGTTCCAGGAGATGGATTTATAAGAAGATGATGGGTCAGGACTCAAAAGTATAGTTTGTGATCATGCACCAGACCGCAGCCTAGTGCTCTGTAGAGAACTAACACCCTGGCCTTGGACTTGGGATGAAATGGTAAAGCATATATTAGAATGCTGGGGGTTTCATCTTAATAATTTTATTTATTAGCTCTGTAACAGTGCAAGATACATCTCCATGTTTCAGTATTCTCAAGACAAAAATTAACATATCTATGTCTTAAGATTGTGGATTAACAGAACACAAGAAGAATACTTTACATAGTGTTTGGTACAGATTGCCCCCTGATAAAACTGGTGGATAGGAATAGGGACTTATGACCTGGTGTCCTGGGAGGAGGCTGCTCTCTAATAGCACCGTGTGCTTCTGTCACATCAGACGAGCTGTATGCTTAGAGTTAGCGGCAGTGCTCATTGAATCTGTTTGTATTACATAGGGCAATTATGTAATTTAATGAAATATTCAGCAGTTCTTGAACTGAGAATGTAAAAGGCTGGTTTTATTTGACAAGCTAGGTTGACTGTTAAGGACACTTAATAAAAGCTGTTGCTCCCCCAACCTCTCGCCAGCCAAAATGAGATTATATGAAGTATGGGTGAGAAATCTAAGAGATTGGACAAATTTATGTACTGATAAAAAGAATGAAAGCAGAATCCTGAAACTAAATGCCTGAAACTAAAAATGATAGGAAGTGCATCATGTACTATGACAACCTGGAAATCCAGTCAGTGGATTCATACTCAAGTCTATGGCCCAACAGCAAATAACTGTTGAGTGGCTGGCTTTATATTTAACTTAAAGATAAATTTGAGGCATTTGTTTGTATGGTTTATAACTTTAGCAGATTTTTTTAAAATAAAAAATTTGTCCATCAGTTCTGGTAGCATGAAAGGGTTTTACAAGTGATGATAAATGTTTGTTACTATCCACACCATGCTATAAAGTTTTGCTTGGTATGAACCAGTAGTTCTTAACTGGAGAGGATTCTGCCCCCCTGGGACGTTTGGTGATCTCTGGAGACATTTTTGGTTTTCAAGGGTGGGAAGTGGCGCTGCTGGCATCTAGCAGGCCAGGGATGCTGCTTACACATCCCACAATGCTCAGGACAGCCCCTCACAGAACGGCTTATCCCTTCTAAATGCCAGCAGTGCAGAAGTTGAGAAATCCTGATAGAAAGACTCTCTAGGTTTTGTCAAAGACGACTCTGCTGATTCATACAGGAGGGGTGAGATTCATGTCTGTTACTTGAAACAGTATGGAAACACCTCTGTCTAGAACATTTCTGCATTATTACTTGAATTATGTTTTAGAAAAACTGCATGAATGCATTTTTAAAGTCCCATCAATCTGGAAATGTCCTATAAATGGATAGAACTTTGATTTTCCCCTCTAAATCTGTTCGTTCTCGTTTCCTTCCAAAACCTTGGTACAGCAAATATACTGACCCATCAGAATAGGAATCACGGAGACTTAAGGCAGCCACTGCTGTGGCATGAACTGCTTATCATGCCTGGGCATGCCCTGAATGTCTTTTTCCCTTAAAGCCCATACCCAATCTGTCACCAAGTCTTGTAAGTTTTTATCTGTAAAACCTATCCTGAATCTGTCCCCTTCTCTCCACTTCAACAATTACTCTGGTCCAACAGCCTGGATTACTAGCCTCTAGGCTACTTTCTGTTCCTACCCCCTGTGGTTTTTCTCCAGCGCTGCCAGTGATTTTTTTTTTCTTTTTAAACACATCATGTCAATCTCATTTAGATGGTTCCCCATCTCACTTAGAATAAAGTCTGAGCTCCTTATCATGACCTTCATAAAGCTGTATATTATCTGACCCCCATCTCCTCTCACCACAGCCTTACCACTCCTTTACACATGCTTCAACCACACTGGCCTTTCATTCATGAACACAAAACTTAAGTGGGGACATGATTTAGCCATGTTATAACAGAAACATTTGGACATAACATTAGACATAGAGGAATCACCATTTGTAGAGATGACTCAAAATGAGGAATCACCATTTGTAGAGATGACTCAAAATGAGCAAATTTGACATCATAAATTAATGCAAAATTTAATCAGTTTAATAACAAAGTAGACTAGGGCTTAAGTCAACTAGAATACGTTTCCTCAAAGTAAATGATAAAAGAGTGAACATTCAGGGCTAACTAAACACATACAGGTTTTATGAGAGAAAAACAAAAACATTTTAAATAGTTTGCCCAGGA